ATTCTGTTTGTGTTGATGGCCTTGCTGACAAATGATTGATGTCGCCCACTGGCGATTGATACTCGCGAGAAAGTAAGCGACCACTTGGGCGGTTCCTCAAAAGGTGGCGCACATATATTGAGCATGCGCTGGGTGCTAACTGGAAGTATGCAGCACAAGGCTGAAGGACATATTTACAGCTGCGCGCGGCATATGAATACACTGCAATAATTTCACTAACAAAGGAGGATACTGAAACCGAATATTAGGTGATAATTTTCAAGTGAGGGTGACGATGTTCAGTACATACCGAAGACATCTCGAAACGCTAACCCTGTCAAGTGCTTATTTTAGGGGAAGCCGCTAATCCCTTCTGAAAAGAAGCTTCAAGATCGCTGGTAGGCTGGCGATACAGCACTGATCAAAGCAAGTGGAAAAGTTGCTAGCTACATATCGGAAAAGCGTGATATGAAATGTATCTAATCAAAGTAGTATCAAAGTAAATATTCTGTTTGATCTGGTTTAAAAAAAAAAAACCTAATTTTCTAGTGATGCATTATATCACCAAGCTGCTTGCTGCTATGTTTTGCTTCGCAACGGCAGCCGGGCTTCAGACACGGTTCATCAGAGTACGTGGTCGGCTCATTTGCGGCAATGAGAGCCTTAAGAATACAAAAGTGAAGCTATGGAATAAACAAAAATTTGGTTAGTAAACAAATGAAGACCACTTATATTGGTACCTCGAACACCTTCATTGCTTCCCCTTTCCCTACCCTTCTCTCCCTCCTTCCTCCCTCCCCCTTCCCCCTCCTCCCGCCTCTCCTCCGCTTACTCCCCTCCTTTCCTAAATCGCTGAGAAAAACCATCGTCATCTATTCACATAAATACATAAAGAACTTCAATGTGTGTCCGATCAAAATAAGTTATTGAATTCAAAAACAGCAACAAAGACCGGGTAGCAAAGCGCATCAGACTTGTCAGTACAAACACTCTTTTTCCGCGAATCTTGAAGCAACCAGATAGTTAACAGCTGTTGCTTTATATCTTAACATTTTGTGCTTTCATTCGCGCGATGAGAGAGGTGACGGCTAACATCTAAATGAGAATGAGGCCGCATGAAAACTTAACCTTCAGAATGTATAACTGTCATAAATTTTGTATGCATGTGTTGT